AATCTTGTATGTCTGTCACACCTGTTGCACTGCAGCTTAAAGGTTGAAGGAGCTGCCCACTGATAATTTGGGTAGGTTGCCACACACTTATTTTGCAAAACTACAGAGGAGTAAACAAAATCTGCTGACATTTGATTATGACTTTTATAGTCTTCTTTCTTTAGTTACTATTTTAAAATCATAGAAATATGAAGGCAAATGACAACAGATCATTTTTATTACTGTGATTATCATTATTATAGCTCTCTAGATAATAATGGAACAAAAATCTTCAATCTCTGTGCTATGCTTAATAGCCAATCTGTTTTGATAAGACCTGGACGAATTCCCCATATTTTAGCATTTCTTGTGATGAACAATTTGCTCACTTTGATGACTCTTTTCCTTTTGTCCCTAAGGACAGTAATGCCCCATGCATACTATTATCACTGCTTTAATTCTATGGGACACTGCTGAAAACTGAAATATAGCTCCTTTATTTCATATGTGAGAAAACTGTGACCTAAGCCAAAAAGAGATTAAATGATTATTCAGAACTCTTAAATTTTAGTCTAGTGCTATTTTTTCAACCACAGTGGCTGTAAATTTGGCTTACTGGTTTCATCATTAGTTGATAAGAATTTTGGTATGTTTTATATAACAAGCTAGTAGAATCTACTGTAAATTAAAACATCCTATTTAGGGCTGGGGATGTGGCTCAAGCGGTAGTGCGCTTGCCTAGCATGCATGCGGCCAGGGTTTGATCCTCAGCACCACATACAAACAAAGATGTTGTGTCCTCCATAAACTAAAAGATAAATATTAAAAAATTCTCTCTCTCTTAAAAAAATCCTATTTAGCAGTATCAAGAAGCTGAACCAATAGGTGTTTATTAAGTGAACAAGACAAAAATAATATGAACTAAAGTTTTAAGGTTGAGTGTTCTGAATATAATAAAGATTTTCCCTATTAATTTTTGGAGTTTGACTAAAGAAATTGAAAATTTTTTTACAGTTTATTTCTGGGAAGGAATATTCCCTTTATGTTGAGAGCAAACTCTTTAAAGAGATGCTTTTCATAAAATTAAATTGACAATTTAAAAAAAAAACAATTTAATTAAAAATGTTAACTTCCAAAATCTGAAAACTTGTGAATTAATTTAAAAGACTTAAAACTTTGGGAAAAGTAAATAAAATAATTGAAATTCTTGTAAACTTCATCTGGCAAGAAAGCTATGATCTCTATGATAGAGTTATGCTAATTGTCCTACTTGTTCTTCTACCTGGAACTCCAGTAGTAATTAAATAGAGGAGGAGAAATAATATCAGCAGCAAGTTCACCATATGCCAAGCACTTTATGCATATTAACACACTCATTTCACCACATCATGTATATCATTATCCTCTCCTAAAGGCAAAAAGTAAATAATTTGCCAAAAGTGGCACAGATAGGAAATGAGTGCTAGATTTGAAATTTAAAGCTATGTTTATCTGGCTTCCAGCCTATTTTCTTTTAGCTATAGCATATGCTCTCCACTCTGAATTAAATAAATGTAATTATTGGCAGCTATATATATATGAGTAATACATGTAAGTTTATGATATCACACTGCAAATTGTGTATGTGTGTGTACACATGTATATGCAGACTGTTCTCTCTATTGATACGGCTAACCTTCCCCTTAGTTCTTGGATTTCCACCAGTTATACTTATTTTACATGTAGCAAGAAAGAGTTTTTAAACTTAATCCTTTAATTTGACCCTGAAAGGGCAGCTGTGCTTCACCTCTGATTAAATACAGTAACAAAAGATAAYGAGAGAACAGTGATGTGTTCACTGAAGGTGGAGTTCAGGCAGAAGTTGAGAAGACTTAGGAACTGGAAGACAAGACAAAATCCTGAATTAATTTTATAATACTACATCATTAATTCTTAAGTCACTATCCAAATTGCTAAACACACCTGCTGTTCATTTTGGGACAGTGATGTATTTTAAATTCAAACATAATAAGTGATGGTCCACATCTCTTCTCCATTCTACTAATATAGATAACAAAGAATTGACCATGTTAAATATATTACAGGAAACACACTCTGCACTACTATCAGTTTCTAGAACACAGATACAAATTCAGACAAAAAAATCTACAAAACACTAGAACTCAATAATTAAAAATAATTATGATAGCCTTTACATATTCCTAAAATGTGTCATTTTATGTGGATTTTTCTAGAGCTCATGAATAATAGAACATATACCCTCCAATTTTATCTAAACTTCAGACCAGATTTTGCAATAATTTGTAAGTTGTATAATACCTAGATATTTCAAGGAATGATATACTGCAGATAGGAAAACCAAATAGCATTCAAAAGTTAATCCAATATTAAAAGACCATCAATTCCTGCAGAGTGAAAACATAGAAAGAAGATTTGCAAAAAAGGCAAAGTAAATAAAATGACCACTAAATCTATTGATAATATTGTTAAGACAATATGAAACGCTTTAATGATTAGTTGTATAAGTATGGTTTCTTGGCCATGTAGGAAAAGGAAGAAAAAGAAGGTCAATAAACATAATCATGCATGCTATATGAGCCAATGTGTTAGAACTAAGGAAAAAATCCTAAACTGAATGGGAACCATTATAATTGCAATAGGTTATATAGCTAAGCCTACCAATGACTAGCCAATTCCAGCATTACTGTTGAGAGCTAAACTCTGACCCAACAGGCGATGGCTCTAATAGCACTGAACCATTCCATTTCAAATTGTGTTTTAGTTTTATGCCCCATTAATTGAACATTTATATTAATTTTTAACATTAGACTCAATTCACTGTTGAGTCATGTGCACGGTTTTGCTGGCTCTGCAGCAATTCTCTTTTTTTTTTCCTACAATAAATTATTACTCCATAAAATGGAAATGTTCCCTAATTAGGATTCAATTGAGATATACCAGCAGAAAAAAAAAGTTTAGGCCAAAAGAACCTTCCTGCTATTAGGACAAGGTGATAAAACTTTAAATATGGAAATAAAAAATAAATAAACTTGGGAAAGAAGGATCTTCAAATAGAACATTCTCAAGAGAGGTTGGATGATATTTCAGGYACTGCTTTTGCTTTCAAAGATGGCATTCCAACCCAAAAGGCAGAAAACGTCTTAATAATGTTAATACAAAGTGTATGTGTTGGAAACACACTTGCAGGTTTATTCAAAGTAGTCAGCAGGTGTATAGCAGGCATAATGACAATGGACCAGATTCTACATTCATTTAAGAAAGTACAGGGCGAGGCTTTAGGTATGAGGTATTGACTCATGCTTCCAATTTAATTAAATCTAATGAATTCATTTTAAAGATTAAATTATTTTAAATTGCTTTTGGCACCTAAACAGATATAGCTGCCACTCTACTAATGATGAAGTTACTTGTTTATTGTTCAGGATTTTATTTTTGCTAATTTTTTTTTCATTTAAAACTGAACTTACACATTCCTATCTCAGAGTCTTACCAAGTTCAGGTATCTGTTTCATGAAAATGTATTATCAAAAGAGTGCACAGTTAGTGATATTAGTAGATCAATACGTAATCTTTTCCCTATTACTGTCCAGAGGAACAACTCTGGCTTAGGAGACAGGCAAAATGAGTGTGCTCAGTAATATTAGTCTACATAAAAATGTCTCAAGAAGCTAGGTCATTATCATTAGTCATGATAAGAACTAAGAAGGTCTCCTTGGATGTATAAGTCAAAAGAAAGTTTATGTGGCAGAATTATGTAAGGAAACTTACAGTTGTGCCTGCCCACAAACCATGCAATTTGGAAACAGCCAAGAAACAAAACCATAGAAAAGGAGGAATAAATACAACATGTATTAGGGGTTATTATGCAACTACAAAGATTCAATATGACCCTGGCAATATAGCAAAAAATAGTTATGGAAAAAGAAGCTATTTCTTATGCTCAGTAGCTAATTTTCAAACATATGTACCTGTATTTGAAACTTTGAGCATTTCACACATTTTTCTGTATCTGAAAAAAAAATGGATCCAGACTGATATTGTGTATCAATATAGCTGAAAACAGTTAATATAAAGGTAGCCAAAAGCAGAGTTCAATAAGAATTCAAAAAGAGGATATTATTTTGATTGCTGATAAAGTACTTCTAATGTACACTTTGCTCATATTGGAAAAGAATAATTTACTGTTCAATTTTGCTAGAAAAGACGAAATATCTACAGAAACATGATTTCACAAAGTTTTTAATTAAATAAGAAGCTAGATTAAAATGTCTAGATAAAACTGTAGGTATAATTATAAACTTTAAAAATAATATATAACTCCATTTGACAACAAATACATTTCAATATACAACAGTTAATTAAATCTCCTTTTCAAATACTTTACAATTAAAACATTATATTTTTCCATTTAAAAATGTTCAAAAGGGCATTAGACTTATGAAAATGACCCATATTTTTAAATAGTTCATTCTGGAAAATTAAGAAATACATATCCTTCAGGACAAATGTATTTAATATAAGGGGACATAAGAAAGTACATAGGATTTTTTGTCCATAAACTACAAGGGTAAAATAAGAAATATTCAAATATATAAATAGGACTTTATGGGAAGAAATGTTAAAACAGTAAAGGCAGCAGTCCTATAATTCACATATTATGATACACAATTTGTAATACAAATATATCTTCCCATTTGTGGCATTTGACAGGAACTACCATACTTTATAAATATTTGCATATATATTTACATATGTATTCAAAATAAAACAATATGAGAATTCTAGAGACAGGTTTAAATTATATGCAATTGATTTATAAAAATATGACCAAAACAGAATCAGTAATAATTATAATTTTAAGTGTTGGGTGTGACCATGATATGGTCTAATTTATGTTGTAGAATATTTATAATTATTTCAAATTTATTAAGCAAACATAATAACAAATTTCAAAATGCATGCTTTCCTCCTTTCTTTTCTTCTTCTTTTTTTTTACTTACTGCTTTGTAAGTTCTCTTCTGTCCAGCATGTTTTCGAATTTGTTCTCCATTTGGCCCTGTTTCCACATGCATCGAATAGATAATGTCAAAGAAATCTTCAACCACAGCTACTCGCCGCAAAGACAGCTTCTCATCTACACCAACTCCATCCTAGAAAGAAAACAAAACAAAAACCCCACAATATCAATATAGTCATTTGCATTTAACACATGAAATTGATTAAGACAAAATATTTTGATACTCTGAGATGAATCATCTACATAGAAAACTTGAAAAATTCATGAATGAAAATCCTACCATTTTATGCATTACTTACATACAGGACTGTAAGAAATGGAAGAAAGGCATACTTAATATTATGTAAATCATGCCTATCCACAATTTCCATCTTTTGGTTTTTTATTTGTAATCATCAGTATAAGTCTTTAATGTTATTTTAAAATACATTTTAATGCCTAGTAACTTTTATTGCAATAATTTCATTCTGGATACGGCTTGATTCATTAAACCAATGTTTGAGTTACTGAGTCCTAGGAGTTGTAATTAGAAAAATTAAAGAGATAATACTGAGTCTCTTTCCTCAAACATCATCTAATCTAGAAAAGGAAATGCATATATTATCAAGGTTAAACTCAAGGACAAGGTGTTAAAAGTTAATGCTGAGAGTCTTAGAAATCACCTATGTGTGAACTGTGGATCTCGATCACTTAAACTTCAGTTCACTTAATTTCTTTAAATTTTGTTTTCACGGCTGCAAAATGATGATAGTAGAGCCCACTTCACAGAATCATTGTAAAAATTAAATGAAATAATGTATGTAAAGGATGTAACACAATGTTTAGCATATACCGAATACTCAGTAAATGGTGGACTTAGTCATTTTATGGCTACATAAAAAATATAAGCAAACTACTATAGGAGTTCAGAGGATGAAGACATCACCTCCTGCTAAGGTAGCTTCTTGAAAGAAATATAATTTGACATCAGGAAGAAGTTGAATCAGGGCAAGTCATGACAATGGGAAGTACAGTCTAGATCCAAGAGTTCACACAAATGATAGAGAAGAATGAGAAGTTAGGAAGGAGATAATGAAAAAGGCTAATCTTACATGCTTACAGAATGAAAGGGCTTCCTACTTGTGGAGTCCCTCTCTCCCTCAAACACACACACACACACACACACACACACACACACACACACTAACCTGAAGTAACACCATACATCCATTCATATTCATACTGGTAAACAGCACAAGCCAGTAAGTAAAATTATTACACAGAATATAGCCAAATGGCAAGAGTCTCTTTAAAAAGTAACTCCAGCAGGCTGAGTTTACTGTAAAACTGAAAGTGAACCACCAGGCACTTTCTACTTTCTGTTGATTTGATTTTTCTCTTTCTTTCTTTCCTTCCCTCTTCCCTCCCGGACCCTGTTTCTTAATTGCATTAGGCCTTGTAGGTAGCAGTGACTAAAGCAGCACATTGCAATAACAAGATATATGAAATTGCATGTTAAGCCAGACAGCCAGGCCTCTCACCTCTGTTCACTCTTTAGTGCTCCCTTCACAAATTATCTCAGATGCATATAGTTCATAATTTGATTTCAGACTTTCCACATCTCTTCTGTGACATCTTGAGGCCTCTCTTCTATAACTGGGCCCCCTGTATATTACCTCACTGCCTTGTGAAACAAGACCAGTAGATTCTAGGAGTCCAGAGAAGCTGCATGAAGCATGCCAGCCTGGAAAATTGCTAGAGCTTAGAGGGCAGTGTCCAGGAAAGCATGATTCCAGATGCCTCTTCCTGGCCTGTATTTTCAGAAAATTTTTTTTTTTTTTTTAGGCCAGAAACCCAAATTCTAACTTTTTCCATCAATAAAACTGTTGGGCATGGTGGCGCATGCCTGGAATCCCAGCAGCTTGGGAGGCTGAGGCAGGAGGATCTTGAGTTCAAAGCCAGCCTCAGCAAAAGTGAGGCACTAAGCAACTCAGTGAGACCCTGTCTCTAAATAAAATACAAAAAAGGGCTGCGGACATGGCTCAGTGGCCGAGTGCTCCTGAGTTTTATATATATAAATATAATATATATTTATAGTTTATATATATATATATAAACTACCTATGAAACTTGTCTCCTTTGCTCCCAATCATCAATGTGTAGCATCTACCTAGTTCCCTTGCTAAATAAGCTAATAAATTAGTGTTGTTAATCACTATATATTCATTTGTGTAAATAAATATATTACTTGTTCCCAAATTTATTAGCATGTTTACCTATTCACCCAGCTAAACACTAAAACCCACTGCCCATTTATTCATTTTATCTAGTATCCAACAAAACCTAAGTACTGCCAAGCCCTGTGCTAGCTACTACGCTTACTGAGATGTATGAGATAGATAATAGAGGGTTTTGTGCAGTTAACCATCTACTGCAGAAACTAGATATTCAAACAAATGATTATTAGCATCAATATTAATTTCCTTTGGGTTCTATAACAAATGGCCATAACATGGGTTGCTTGTAAAAAAAGATAGAAATTTATTCTGTCATAGTCCTAGAGGCCCAAAGTCCAAATTCAAGTCCAGTAGAGTGGCACTCCTTCCCAGAAGGTCTAGGAGAGAACCCATCCTGTCTCTTCTAGCTTCTGGCAGTTGCCAGCATTCCCCGACTTGGGGCTGTATCATATGACTTTCTGTTCTTCTGCATGCCTCTATTCTAATGTGCTCTCTCTTATAAAGACCTTCATGATGGTATTTAAGTCCATCCAGATAATACAAGATAATTTTCTCATCTCAAAATCTTTAACAAAGGTATATTCTCAAAGGCCCTTTTCCCAAACAAGCTAACATTTACAAGTTTCAGGATTTAGGATTTGGGTGCTCCTTATTGAGCCAGCTGTAAATGGTATTGACTCACAGGAGGTACAAATTGTGCTATAGGAGCACGTGTTGGAGATGCTTCACAATCATTTAACACTCAAAATTTTTCATGAATTCAGAAATTCTGAGTTTATCAAGGTAATACTGAAATCACACATGTTAATGGAGAAAAATGATCTATAATTCTCTATAATTCTCCCATCATGTGGCTCTGTTTACTACTGTTATTCAACATCAATTCACACCCTCATTCTATGATTAAAACTCAAAAATACTTTCAGAGATTGAACGTATAAAATAAATGACCCAAATGTCCATCGTAGGTTTCAACTAGGGAATCAGATTTAAAAAGAACAAAAAGGCACCAGATTGGGAAAAAAGAAATAAAAGTATCTTTGTAGATGCTTTGCATGTTACTGTAGAGATGACATGATCTCATACACAGAAAATCCTAAGGAATCCACAAGAAAACTGGTAGAGCTAATAAGCAAGGTCAAATAAACATACAAGAGTCAATTATATTTCTATTTATTAGTGAATACAAAATTGAATTAAAGAAAATAATTTCATGTTGTAGGACACCAAAACAATACAATTTTAGGAACAAATTTAGATATAAAATTAACAAATTTATAAAAATTAACAAAAGAAATTTAAGACTTACACACTAAAACTACAAAATACTGTTAAGAGATATTTAAAATGAGGTGGAAATAAATGGGAATACATCCTCTATTCATGGATCAGAACATTTAACATAGTTAAGATGACAATACTAAAAGTTTTATTCACTTTAATCAATGAAATTTCTTACCAATATCCCAGTTAGCTTTTTACAGAAATTGGCAAGCTCATCTATAATTCATTTATAAATGCAAAAGAAAAAGAATAATCAAAATAATTTTACAAAGAAGATATTTGGATATCATACCCTTTGTAATTTCAAAGATTACTGTAAATCCAAAGTCTTTGTTCAATAGCCTGGTATTTGTATGCAAATTGATATATAGATTGGTAGAATAGAATCTATATGTCAGAAATAAAGCCTTACATTTATTCAGTTCATTTTCAAGAGGAGTGACAATGCAGTAGAGAAAGAGTTATCTTTTCAATAAATGCTACCAAGACAATTATGTCCCCAGTTCAAAAAAAAAAAAAAAAAAAAAGAAGTCTGATCTCTACTGAGCCACACATACAAAAGTTAAGTCAAAATGGAGGACAGATCTAAACATAAAAGCTAAAACTTGAAATTCTTACAGGAATACAAAGGATTAAAATGTTTGTTATTTTTGGTAAGGCAAAGTTCTCAGAATTATGACACCAAAGGTAAAAGTAATTAAAGAAAAATTCATAAATAACTACATTGAAATTAACTTTTATACTACAAATAAGTCCCTGAAAAAAAGTAAAATGACAACCCATAGAAATAGGATAAAATATCTGAAAATCATAAATATAATAAGGAGTTCTCATTAATAATACATGGATCTAAGACCACATACCAAAGGATCACATCCTCTTGAAAATGAATTGAATAAATGTAAGACTTATTTCTGAAGTCTGAATTGTATTCCACTGATGTATATATCAGATTGTATACAAATATCATGTTACTTAGTAAAGACTTTGGATTTATAGTAATATTTGAAATTAAGAAGGGTATGTCCTCTAAATATTTTCTATATAAAATTATTTTGATTTTTATTCCCTTGAATTTATGTACGGATTATAAGATCCACTAGTCAATAATATTTAATAATAGAAAGCCAAATAACTCAATTTAAAAATTGRAAAGACTTTGAATATCAATTTCTACAAAGATGATGTTCAAATGACCAACATGAAGACGAAAAGGTGATCAATATCATTAGTCATCAGCAAGTGAAAATCAAAATTACCATGAGACCCTACTTCACATTCACCTGGATTGTTGAAATGAAAATATCAAGTACGAGTGAGGATGTATAGAAATCAGAACCCTCCTACACTGCTGATGGGAATGCAAAATGATTCAGTTGCTTTGAAAACAGTTTAGCAGTAACAGAAATTAAACACTCACTTATCACATGGCCTAGCTAGTGTTCAAAAATATATATTCAAGACGAATTATAAAACAAGTGTACACTAAATGTATCATATGCAAATACTAATAATACCTTATTTGTAATAGCAAAAAAAAGTGGAAATGTAAGTGTCCCTGAACTGTGGAATGGAAAAATGTGGTATTACCATACAAGTGAGTATTATTCTGCTACAAAAAGGGATGAAATAT